AGAAATGGGAAACACTGACCTAGAATATAAAGGACACATATATATCACACTTCACAAAATGTGATCTCATACACACCACATCTCACCTAGTATCATCTCATCCATAGCTCACACTTCACAAGATGTGATCTCATCAATTCATCTCACTTAGATCTCATCCACGTCACATGTGATCTCATCTACAATTCTCACATCAACAGTTTAAATTTATCAAGATTATCTTTGAGAATTGGCAGCCAGCACCATTTAACAAAATAAGTAAACTTTTTATTCATCTTTCATCAAGATAAACAGTTTGAATTCATCTTTCAACAAAGTAAACTGTTTCATATTCTATCAGAGTTAAGCACAAATTAAATATATAACTAAAATGAACTAAACAAAGGTTAATTTATAAGTATATAATTTAAACTGCTTACTTCTGCAGCCAACTTCTAACTTTTTCAGATTACAGGGGTCACAAACCTACTATACTCTTGATATTTGCATCCATGTCTGTTTAAACTTTTTTACATACACCTCACATGCTTCATTCATTTGACAGGTCTTGGCTTCTATATCATGTGTGATATAGATTGATATGGGTAGTGATGGGTCATTATCACATATGATCAAATTGTGAGGGCCCTTTGGGAGCGAGTAAACAGTGCAGATAGATCATTACGGTCTGAGGAAAATGGCGCTGCGAGGAGTTACCAGGGGATCTGGCCGATGCTCAACACTCATGGGAAAGTGAGATGGATATACAATCAGACAGTTACTGGTACCATCGAAAATTTAACTCTGTTTGCTGCTGAAGATGGGGACTGAGCACTTATGGGAGCGTCCCGAGTGCTGTGATGTTGATTCCTAATTCAACAATCAACATTCATTCATCTCATATGATCACCAGTGTCCTGTACCAAAGTTTGGGGTCTTGTATTGATTATGCCAAGTGGCCAAGATATTAAAATACTGACTTTCCTGGCTTTTTGTCTGGTGGTACACAACAGTAATCAATACCTGCAGCTTTCCTAGGCATGGTGTTAGTGCTATTGTAATAGACACTTTATGGTGAGTACCAGCAGCTTTTTTTAAAGACATTACTAGCACCTTTTTCTAGAAAGAAAAATCCACTGATGACCTCTTTACCTTCACCTTGCTCTGTTGCTATGACAACTTTGAGGTAGAAGTAAACCACTGTTATATTTAGCTGAGACTAGAAGTAAATGCCAGAAATGACTTCGACTGAAAGATCAACTCTCTCAATACCAGACTACTGTTTGGTTAACCCACGGTCTTATAGTGATTGCTTGAATTTCAGACTAACACATATATTTATAAACCTAAACCTATAAATCCCTGGCAGTTATCAGTAGAACTTTTATTACAGAGATTTAAAGAAAAAATGCAGGGAAATGTATAGTGCAAGTATGCTTTATGGGGTACCCAATACAGAGTACAGGTGTGATACACTTCTTGGTATAACAATGGCAATTTGTTGACAATCAGGTGCCGTCTCCACAGTGGCTGCACCAAATGTCCCACTTTCTATCTGGCCCAAGTTGTACACTGACACAAAACTTATGTCCATCTCTTAAAGTCATCTATATCAATGTCTTCCTCTTTCTCGCTTGCCATGGACTCAAGTTTTTTTTTTTTTAAAGTGTTATGTTTGTAATACAATCAAAATATTCAAATTCTCGTTTCTTTAAAAACAGTAATTTAAAAAAAAAAAAAAGTTACAAATAAAACTAGAAAATGAAAAGTGATGCATCAAACCCACTTAATGAATTACTAAGCTGGCTTATCATGGCACTCCGGGCATGTTTCTCATCAAAATGTACATCAGTGCCGTCTGGTTAATAATGCCAGCCCTATGGTCATTGAAAAGACTTCCCTACAGTGTAACCCCTCGTGCTTGGCTGTGCTGATCTTTATTCCTAATTCTTGCAGTCTTAGCAGAGAGGTGGACTGGCTGCTCCCTAAACCCTCCGACTGTCCAGTATCACTGAGAGCATTAGTAATCCATGCAATCAATCGGCCATTTAATGCTTTACTAAAGGAAAAGAATGCAACCGTCAGTCCCTAGTGACCGTGAAATTATGCTGCTGGTTTTGGGAATTGCGTCTGCTATGATGGTAGTCCTCTTGAGGCGGTGGCAGTCTCTACCACATAGATTACATACAAACATAGATTACATACAAACATAGATTACATACAAACCCTGATTATCAAACAGACTGGTTTTCTTTTAGATGTCTCCTCTCTGTAGCATGCAGCCTTTGACCGCGTTCAAACTGCGACAATCCGACATTCCCTATCTGCCTTTATAGGAATCAATCCGCAGTCGATCTCTACCAAGTGCCTGTCGATGTTAGCATCTCTCAGGTCCTTTGTCCTAGTGTAGCTTTGGCCTTCCTGATCTCATCCCTCTTTCAGGTTCACAATTCCATATTTTGTAACAAATATAATAAATCTACTCTAAAGCAAACTATATAAAATAACATAGGCCTCCCAGGGTGACCTAAACTCTAATCTTCTTCTTTCCTCTACTCGTGAAATGCCTTGCGGTGTTAGGCAGGAAGAGATCTCTGGATCAGGCCCTTTTGTTCGCTTCGTATTAAGTACTTTTCGGCCTGTGATATTTCAGAGGTCCATCTTCTGCATGAGGGATCTCTGGCTGTTACCCCTGTAACAGTTCTCTGTGGTGCCCTGTCTGATGCCAAATCTGGTTACATGGCCAAACCATTTGGTTTGTCCAGATTATAATGGGCACAAGAAAATTGCCTAGTAATGAAAAGAGGCCAACGAGATGACAATATCACCATTAAGTGCTGATTCAACAAGGAGTGTATGGTGTAGCACAAAATAGCCCATACACTTAATTATCGGACAAGGGGCATCTACTACATTGTATAAATGAACTAATTTATTGGTAATAATGGATTGGGTACAGTCTAACTATGGAGACAAATAATAATTATATGTTTATACTTTGCGGTGCAACATAGTACAATAGTACAAGTTATTTTTAAAAAAGGACAATAAACTGCATAAATAAATAGCTGTTTTTATAATCAGAAAGACAAGATATCACATGTATGTCGTCAACACCCATTTTAGGCATGCTTTGTTCAGACTCCCTTCAGAAAACTGGGTGAGCTAGTGTCCTCTGGATGTTTTATCTGGGGTATGCAGGTTTGTTGGGATACAAAAAGGCACACAGACTAGCTGGTGCTGCACCACTGGCTGGTGACTTGATGTTAGACAAACTAGATATAGTTAAGGCCCTCTGGGAGAAGCACAAACAGATCATGGGTCTACAGTAAATGGCACATGAAGAGCATCTGGCTGACTCAACACTCACAGCAAAGGCAATGTTGACATACAGTCAGACTGCTACAGGTACCATCAGAAATGAAGTCTGCCCTGGCTGCTCAAGATAGGAAAGGAGCAGTTATGGGAATGTTCTTCTTCTTCTTCGTGTTCACCAGCTGTAAACTCTGGCAGAAAGTTCTAGTTGTTCATCCACTTCTGGACTGCAGTCCTGTTCCAGAATTTGAGTGTTGCGTGTGCATCTGTTTGACAGATCTAATTTGTATGCAGACTGTTGATTCCTTTCCTCAGGCAGATGCACTCAGACTGAAGGAAGCTCCCAATTAGCCCAATTAGTAAGACTATCTAAAGAAATTAACATTAGATGCAGTAAAGCAAACTAAGTATTGGGACAGCTAGTGCCCCTCTTACAGCATAAGACAATCCCAATCAGCACAAAGAGACATCTTATTCAAGGCATATTTATTCCAACTCTGTGCTGCCAGTGCCAGACATGGTCACTCACAACAAACCATAAAAGAAAATTAGTAACCACGGAAATGAGATGTCTGAGAAGGGCTGTGTAGGAGTGACGATAAGAGATAAGATCAGGAATGAGATCATAAGAGAACAAGTCGGCACAGAACCAATTCTGGATTACATACAAAGACAGCAAGTGAAATGGTTTGCCCACTTAGAGAGAATGCCTTGTGACACCATACCATACAAAGCATACATGGAAAGAGAAGGGACCAAGAACAAGATGGAAGGATAACATCAGAGAAACTCTACAACAGCACCATGTGCCTATGGTCGAGGCAGCCAGAGGAGCTAGAAACAGAACCTTATATCTCCCTCGACACCCACAGCGGTAAAAGAGAAAGTGAAGAAGAAGAAGTAGACTATCTGGACATGCTTTTGGGTAGGCTGTGGGTCTAACACGACTAACACCCTCTTGTTCTTGTGACTATTTGAAGCAAAGATCAGCAACACAGACCTACCATGCATCATAAAAACCAATTAAGGAGACATGGCATGAAGCTGAATACCTCACCCTGCAGAAAATTAGCTGCAAAATCCATCAGCTATGAAACAAATCATTCTTTAACCAAGAGATTCATTTGATTTAGTTTTAGTTGTTCATGTTTGGAAGCAAACCCAAATGCCCAACACAGATTAACTTGTATCTCAACTATCTATTGGTTTGTGTATAAATTAAGTTCTCAATATTTATCATTCAGTTTGCTTTTTATAAGTAAATAAATTTATTAACTATTATTCAGTATATCAATGAAGCATAAAAGCAGTCTTAAATTTGTGGCAGTGAATTTATATTCAAACTGCTGAAAAACATATAAATAAAATTGTTCAGACCTTGGAACTTGTGTTTGAGAAATCAAATGTGGAAGTCTAATTTACCAGCAAACTAGGTAATTCCACTCTTGCTGTTTCAACAGTAATCAACAAATTGTACAAACACTACCCAAGAAATATTACAAAAATTATAAATAATTACACAAGTTTTCACAGAAAGACATCAAATACAATAAAGTTGGATAAAACAAAATGATTTATTTCAGCGCTCAGCTTCTTCTTGAAGTAATTAATTACTGAAAAGATTTTAACATTAAGAAAATAGAATTCTAGCAAACTGAATTTCTAAAACAAAAATGGGATGTCATGTTTGGTCTGTGTTTTGCGAATTATGCAGCATCATCATCCTGAGTGTCTTGATGTCGTCGTTTGGAAGGAACGAGACTTCCGATCAAGCCAGCTCCGGTGGTGAAGAGATTGATGGGCGAGGAGCCATCAGTGATGAGTGTGGATTTGAGCCCCAGAGCTTGTAGCATACGAACCTGTAATACACATACAAAAGTTAGAAAATACACAAAATCTGGATAATACAAAGAAATACACACATAAGGTCCGGATAATTCAAAGAATACACACACAATATTTGTATAATACATACACAGAAAAGCTGAATAATACAAGCAAATAAACAGAATAGCTGGATACTGTAAAGAATAAAATGAAAAACATAAAAAGTCTGGATAAAGCAAAAATACACAGAACAATCTAGACAGAACAAATACACAAGACAAGCTAAATAAAGTAAACTATCCTACTTTGCCAGCTGGCATTGGTGGCCATAGTTTCTCAAAATGATGTACTTTTCAACTATAAAGTATTTATTAGGTCGCTGTCTTTTTTTATGCTAAAGGCTGCCTTTTTTCAATGTCTTCCAATATTTCTTTCATTCCATCTTTCCAATTATTTTATCACAACTAATAAAATAGTACATAAATATTTCTCTTTCTGATGTTTGTGGCTTAGGCCTTGCAATGCCGGGGTGCGACTTGAAAAAAAAATGCTGTCTCCACCATGGAAGTTCACTGCAATGGATCCACTGCTAAATATGGGATATATTTGCTGAAGCCCCCAGCCCCAAGATGTGACTCTCGTACCACCAGCTAAAAGCCAGGGAAATTGTCTTTTTCTAAACTACCCTGTGCAGGATTCTAACCCTGGTCAATGCTGAAGACAGCACTGTCAAACAATTTCATCGACAACTAAGCCACAGAGCTGTACAAACCCAACAAATACAAGCTAAGACTTTACAAACTATACAAACACTTGGCTAACCTTACAAACTGTACAAACACCTGGCTAACCTTACAAACTATACAAACACTTGGCTAACCTTACAAACTATACAAACACTTGACTAACCTTACAAACTGTACAAACACTTGGCAAAACTTACGAACTATACAAACACTTGGCTAAACTTACAAACTATACAAACACTTGGCTAAACTTACAAACTATACAAACACTTGGCTAAACTTACAAACTATACAAACACTTGGCTAAACTTACAAACTATACAAACACTTGGCTAAACTTACAAACTATACAAACACTTGGCTAAACTTACAAACACTTACAAAACCTTGGCTAACTATACTAACACTTTTCTAACCTTACAAACTACACATTACTACAACACAACAATGGCCGACACTACAAACCTGCAAGTCAGGTCCTGCTGTGGCCATGGCTAGCAAAGTGTTGGGTCCGATCTGCCTCCACCATTTCCTTGAACTTTGAGACTTCAATGTTAGAGGTCTCTGCAGCTTTCTCCAACTCAAGCTTGTTTTGTTCAGTTAAATATTTCAACTCAGCTTCTCTGGCATGGGTGAGGCGATCTAGTTCAGATTCCTTTATAAAAGAAATTGTTAAAATATAATTAGGGACAGTAGACTCGGTCGTTAATCAATGTGTCAAGAAAAATATCAATCAATGTGTCAGGAAAAATATTTCCCTTACATAAAGCTATTTCTTTATGCCACCTCTTCTGTTGATTTGCCACACAGACTTCATTCCACCACCACCCCTCCCCTCCCTCTGAGGTTTTGACTAGCAGTCCAATCTGAAGCTATAAAATCTGTTCTCTTCTGTGCCCATGACATTCTCCCCCCGAGTTCAGTCTTTCTCTCACAGAGTGCGGTAAAGTTGACACATGACAGCGACCTTTATTTTTCTATGGCTAATTCATAAAACAAACTGACGCCATAAAATCAAGACTGTTAAATATATCTCAAACCATTTTGTGCATTATTTCTTCTTCACATTAACCAGCTGTAAACTCTTGAGAAAGTTCTGAAGTGCAGAAATGGGCAAATAACCAGAAAGACTCAAGCACTTGGAGTTTTGCATGCACATCTGTTATACAGATTTGGCTATGCATACTGTTGGTTTCTCGCCTCTCAGGCAGAAACACTCGAACTTCAAAGAAAACATTCCTAATTAGTTAACTTTTTTACTTTTTTGACATGCATGTCAGAAAGGCAGTGGGTCTCTCTCTCACACACAATCAGGCCCCACAACCCCACATGGATTTTTGTGTGTGTGTTTAAGAACAATACTAGAACTAACACTAGCAGCGAGTACTTACGGCTTCTATCTTGCTGGCCTGAGCCTTCAGTCTAGCCTGTTCTACCGCTGCCTCTCCCTCAATTCTTGCAGCCTCGGCTCTGCTCTGAGCCTCTGCCTTGGCCTGCCCAGTACTTTCCACAGCCGCACTGTTTGCCTGCAGTTCCAGCAGTTCTTTGCGAGCCTTTTCAGCCTCGGCCTCATCTGAAATCTTCTGCCTCTCCAGTCGGCCTTTAGCTTCTTGTTCCAGTCGTTCTGCTTCATGTCTGTCAAAACAATGCACAATTTTCATATAAAAAAAACAACAGCTGCCAATTACTGCGTCTATCATAACCACTTCAGCTGTGTAGGCACGGGGTCTCTGAGAATGAAATTTATGGCCACATGGGTAGTGCTGTCGCCACGACTGTGCAGGAGGGGATTTTATGTTTCACCCAACAGAAAAAATCCATAGCCTTACCGAAGATTCAAATTCAGGTCTCCCGCTTGAGAACCCAGCCTTCTAACCGGTCTGCCAGCCGCTCCTCATTTTCACATAAACTGTTCTAAAACAATTATAGTTTTCAGTTTCAGGAAAGGCATGGCAAATAATGCAATTTCACATGGCCGTGCATAAAAAAAAAAACTACATTTCTAAAAGTAAACAGGCTATTTAATAATAAAGCCATATTTACAGTCAACATCATCATGTGCTGCACCAGTACGAAAATAATATCCCAAATCTGGATATTATCCAGACAAATCTGTGCAGTTTTGTAAACTCCCTGTGTGGGTTCCGGGGTCATATTATAGAGAAAAAAAGAATAAACCCACTGCCTACCCTAAAGCATGCTGTAAGAGTCAACTAATTGGGAGCTTCCTTTGAAGTCAGAATGTATCTGCCTGATGAGTCAAGACGCGTAAAACGAATACACATGTAACACTCAGGTTCTGGAACAGGACTGCAGTCCAAAAGTGGATGAACAACCAGAACTTTCCCCCAGAGTTTACCGCTGGTGAACACAAACAAGAAGAAGTAATGTAAATAAAGATATGGGAACTGAGAGATATATTAAAAATTTAAATACAAAGACAGGTTTTTACAGCACAAGAGAATTTGTGGAGGTCACACACAAAAACAAAACTGATATCACACATAAAATATTTAATATTTAAATCAAATGAAAAAACTTGGGAATTATATAACTAGAATTTAATTGCACTGGAACCCATAGGGGCAGAGAGTTAAAGCCAGACTCCACCCCCTACCCCCCTCAAAAAAAAAAAAAAACACACAAAGGAGAGGGGAGCTAGAGAGTGAAGTTAAAAAAACAAGGGAGGACATGGGGTAAGCTGCATGCGATAGTAATGGATAGAATGACTTGCCAAGAGCTGGTTGACACTGGAGGATGAGGGGCAGACGAATAATCCAGACTGTTTTGGTAAGCTAATTTACTAACTCCAAAACTGAAGATCAAGTGTTTGGGGCCAGTATTGAGATCAGTAACAAGACTAATCTCATCATCTCTAGTCATCCCCTGTGTTTCAGCACCAGGTTTTGAAGAGGCATCTGGTGCAAGCCTTAATGTGGACTAGGTAGATGGTATTCACAGACTCATTCCATCGATCTATCTCTTGCATGGTCAACCTCTAGAACTGCTTCCATTGTGACTAAGTGTCATGGCTCTCTGTGGTGTACTAATATATAATGACTGGTACCCTTCTTAAATTTTCATCGTCATCATCGACAACCAGGCAGCCCATTAGCTCACCGGTAGATGACTTCATCACGTGTTGGGACAGTATTTGGGCAACGTCAACACTGCAGGAATCCTTTTCAGTGCTTTTTGGTGGTGTGGACTGTACTTGTTGAAACTTTTTTTAAATCCCTAACTTTACTGAGGGTTCGAACCTGTTTACAGCAGAGCAATATCTGAGCCAACCTCAAATTTCTTGCCGATATCTGTTGTTATTCTACCTGGGTAGTTTTTACAAGCCATTAGAGTTGCAAAATTGGGATGTCAGAATCTTTTTCATTGATTGAGGTTCCCAACTTAGCACAGTCACATGTGGATCATTTGGCACCCAAGCAAACTGCATTTATCATTGGAATAACATAGGACCCTTTGCCATGCCTTCAGATGTATTGGGTATATACTTCTAGATCTATGTTTTAGAGACTAATAGTTCTAGATCTATGTTTTAGAGACTAATAGTTCTAGATCTATGTTTTAGAGACTAATAGTTCTAGATCTATGTTTTAGAGACTAATAGTTCTAGATCTATGTTTTAGAGACTAACCAGCAGGTAATGTGGTCAACATTATGCTGGCCATCTTTTCTTCCCAGGACTGTACCTGGTTTCAATTTAAGGCTGGGGTTCACCTGGCAGCCAAGGCTGTTTTGGGGAAAAGTGAGACTCAGTTCACATTTAAGCCCACGATCTTCAGAATTACGGCTGTAACAAAAACATGAAAGCATTCCGTACCTTGCTGTTGCTTCCTGGGAGTTGGTGGTGATTTCAATAGCCAGCTGGACAGATTTCTGCAGGGCATCCCGAGTTCTCTGGTCAACCGGCTCCACGGACTGAATGTCAATGCTGGTGATCTCCAAATTGTTCTGTGGGAACAGGAAGACGTCCTTCACCTTGCCACTGGCATCAATGCCAAACACAGAGGCTCTGATAATTTTAGCGGAGTTCTGTCAAATAAGAACTTACATTGTAAAAACTGGCAAGATATTAACCCTTTGGAGGATGATTTATCAGCCCAACACAAAAAAGCCAAAAGACGAATGGGCCGATTGGTCAGCCCTATATATATAATACAAGCCTTGAGATTAGTTGGCAGGTTTTTGTACCAGCCAATCAGATTTCTTTTTGCATTTCTTGCACATCTGTTCAGTGATGACTCGTGAAAATTTGATGTGTTCTGTAATTTTACCTCAATTTTTTTGGTGTGATTACCTGTGCCCAACAACAAAGGACTATTGCGTCACAGCAACCAAAACATAGGAGGCAGGAAAAGTAGAATCATGTGCCAGAAGTGTCAAAAGAGCCTCCATGGGCTTTACTTCCCAAAACACAAGTGTTAGGACATATTCAGGCTTCATCCATCATCAAAAAATGCACCCACATTTTGTAGGTCATGTTTTTTTCCAAGTGAAAAAAAAATGCATAAATTATGCAAATCAGAATAATTAATTTGAATAAATGTTAAGTTTCAAACTGATTCACAAAAATTCTGTTAGCTTGTTAAATTTCCTATATGAATATACATAGTTTTGTATATGTGAATTAAAATCTTTATTTTTTTTTTTTAATTTTTGTATGTGTAAATTAAGAGAATCCCCCCTTCTGAAAGCTCCATCTCCAAGGGTTAAGTATATGATTTTACTGTTTCATTGTGTAGCAACCTAAATAGTCAAAGAAAACAAGTCATCTTGATACAGTTGATCAATCCATACATTCTGTCTTTGACTAGTGTGAACATAAGCCAGAAGCCATTTCCCCTGACTACATGCTGGACACAGCAAAGAATCACCTGGACACAGCAAAGAATCACCTGGACACAGCAAAGAATCACCTGGACACAGCAAAGAATCACCTGGACACAGCAAAGAATCACCTGGACACAGCAAAGAATCACCTGGACACAGCAAAGAATCACCTGGACACAGCAAAGAATCACCTGGACACAGCAAAGAATCAATCTAAGTTAAAGAAAGCTGCAAAACCCCACCTTGTGGAAATCATCAAACTGAACTTGAGCAACTGCTCCTCGGATTCTGGATGCAATGGCTTTACAGGCATCACCAATAAAGTCAGGGACACTGAATAACTTGGCAGCTTCTGTAGCAGTTTTTTCAACCACGGTGAAGTGCCTGGATATCATAAACATAACAGTGAAGTGCCTGGATATCATAAACATAACAGTGAAGTGCCTGGATATCATAAACATAACAGTGAAGTGCCTGGATATCATAACATAACAGTGAAGTGCCTGGATATCATAAACATAACAGTGAAGTGCCTGGATATCATAAACATAACAGTGAAGTACCTAGATATCATAAACATAACAGTGAAGTGCCTGGATATCATAAACATAACAGTGAAGTGCCTGGATATCATAAACATAACAGTGAATGTGTGTCTGTCTAAATGAAGGCATGTGTGTGTAATAGTAAATATTGTCTGTCTAAATGTAGGCATGTGTGTGTGTGTATATAACAGTAAATGTGTCTGTCTAAATGTAGGCATGCGTGTGTGTATGTAACAGTAAATATATGTCTGTCTAAATGTAGGCATGTGTGTGTAACAGTAAATTTGTGTCTGTCTAAATGTAGGCATGCGTGTGTGTATGTAACAGTAAATATATGTCTGTCTAAATGTAGGCATGTGTGTGTAAAAGTAAATTTGTGTCTGTCTAAATGTAGGCATGTGTGTGTAACAGTAAATATATGTCTAACTGTAGGCATGTGTGTAACAGTGAATGTGTGTCTGTCTAAAAGGCATGTGTGTAACTAAATATATGTCTGTCACCCGCCTCCATTTATCTCTCTGGTTGGCCTTCTCCCTCCAGTTGGTGACACCAAGTGTTTGCAGGTCTGTCCGGACCTTTTCTCTCCATCATCTTTTTGGTCCGCCTTATGGTCTGCAACCATTCATCTCCCTTGTATTCTTCTTCGCGTTCACCAGCTGTACACTGTGGCGGAAAGTTCTGGTTGCTCGCCCACTACTGAACTGCAGTCCTGCTCCAGAACCTGACTGTTGCGTGTGCATCAGTTTTACAGATCTCATTCTCTTGAATACAGACTGTTGGTTCCTTGCCTCTCCGGCAGATGCACTTCGACTTCAAAGGAAGCTCCCCAATTAGTCAACTCTTACAACATGCTTTTGGGGAGGCAGTGGGTCTATTCTTGTTTTCCCCACAATGGTATCCCGGAACCAACACAGGGGATCTCCCTTGTGTACACAGTTTCTACTTCTGTCATTCTCTCAATATGCCCCAGCCATTTCAACCTATTAGCTCTCATGATGCAAATAATTAATGGTGATTTTAACAGATTATGAATTTCATTGTTGCTTCTCACTTTCTATTCCTCGCTGTTTACATCTTCGATAGGTCCAAAGATTTGTTGTAATACTGTTTTCTCGAAAACCTGTAATGAGCCTTCATCTCTTTCAGTTGTGCTCCAAGTTCTGTGAACACAATCCTAAAATTCCAATCAACCTAAGCAACAGACCATTGTATCTAGATTACAAGCTTCACAGACTGGACTCTGCATCCATATGTCAGACAAACCATGATAAAAAATATATTCTAAGCACGGGTTCCAGGGCCCCATTTTGGGGGCAAGCATGTTGTACAAGGCGACTAATAAAGTGTGTTTCCTTCAAAGGCAAGAAACCAACAGAGAGCATACAAATGAGCAAGATATATAAAATGAATGTGCATGTAAAACTCAAGTTCTAGAATAAGATCAAAGTCCAGAAGTGGATGAACAGTCTGAACTTTCTGCCCGAGTTTACAGCTTGTAAATGCTAGGAATAAGAGTTCATACTGAATGCATACATCAAACATTCACTACAGAATACATACCAATTGTATGAAACTTGTAAAGACAATCTGGCATGGTCAGCAGTTTCAACAACAACAATGTCTGTGCAGAAATCTGGTCCCAGCAACAGGCAAAGAGTTTTAATCACATTGGGTTTCTTGGGTTTTCCGCCAGACAGACTCAGTTGTGTGAACTGCTCATCAGGGCCCAGCATTACCAGTTCTGGTCCAAAGATGACTCTGCAGACGAAAAGCAGTTTCAATATTATAACTGTCAGCGCTATATTAATATCCTACCCCAGATGATGTCACAGGACAGACCAACATTTTAGAGGGTGGTAAGACTGGGTTTCCTGGTTTTCTGATGCTTTTAACGATCCCAAAACATCTACAACTGGCCCTAACCCCAACCACTTTACGTCCCTAATAGAGAGAGCAGCCTAGGTCCCACGACTGCATGCAGCCTATCTAACACCCCCTGAAATATTAGATTGTCCCGTGACCTGTAATAAAGCACCCAACTGTCTACAAGACATGATTAAATAATCTACAAAATATGAAACAACTACATAACAGAATATAACCCTTGACCCATTAGGGTCGTAGAGGTGTATTGATGGAAGCACTAGCACATAAAACACGCCATCTTTCTCTGTCTTCTGCTTGATAAGTGTATGATAACTTAGTCCTGTCCATTTCTTGATGTCTTACCAGGTTCTTCTTTGCCCTCTTCTTCTTTGACTACACCCCAATGTTCCTTGAAGTAGTCTTTGCAATCGTATCATGTTTCACCACAGGCCCAAACCGTAAGAGTCGACTAATTGGGAGCTTCCTTCGAAGTCAAGGTGCATCTGCCTGAGTGGAAAGGAACCAACAGTCTGCACACAAATGTTTCAGAACTGTCAAACGGATGCACACGCAAAACCCAGGTTTTGGAATAGGACTGCAGTCCAAAGTGGACGAACAACCAAAACTTTCCACTAGCGTTTACAGCTGGTGAACGGGAAGAAGAAGAAAGAAGAAAGTATGTTAAGCAGTATCTTCAGCATTATTTTGCTTGTGTGGATGATAAGACTAAACGTTTGTGTCCATTCAGTCGGCCACTTCTTTGTGACCCAAACAACTACAATGTATGCCAGAAAACTAAGACATCCATTGTGTGTCTTTAACCTCATAATGCTGGCATGCTATGGGAAAGGGGTTCTCTATTTATACAACTGATGTGTTGAAAATCAATTTTCTATGAAGATAACTTTTTCTCACAGCCGACCTACACTGAATGGCAGATTACTTCTTAACAGTTTAAACTTTTATACAACTGAAAGATGTTTCCAGGATTTAGTCCTGTAGGATTCATACCCAAAAAAGTGACATTTTCAATCACTGGATGTCACATCTTTAATCTTTTAGGGCACAATCTCACAGAAAAATTAAAATTATAACAAGGGAAATTATTTACATATATATTTAAAAAAAACATCTACAAGTGTAAAGTAATCTCTACCTTGCTTTCTTTTCCTTATAATCATAAATCTGTACAGCTGCATTGTGGGGTACACGGAAAGTAACAACTCGGGTCTTGTCTCGAGGCTTTTCAGCTTTGCTGGAATCTGTCTTGCGATCGCTGCGTTCTGCTACGACATCGACAGTCAGCAGGGCCTCAACTGCTGGAGGTAACTCTTTTGCCCAGAGTTCCTCATCTTGGCTAAGCATGTAGGTTTCTCCTTGAACTGCTCGTACCTTAAGCAAGAACAGTTACATTTAGTTCTTTGACGTCAGATCTGTTCTCTATCAAAAGTTTACTAATTAAAACAGGGTTTACTCAAATGACACTAAAAAAATTAAATATTTAGCAGCATACCAGTAAAAGAAAGGACGTGACACTGAAAAACAAAACGCCTTGCCCCTAATGTGCATCAAATGCTAATTTTAACAGGAAAAACCAATATGCAATGTTAATTTTTTGCTTGTTTTTGTTTTAAGTCCACAAACACAGACCACTTTCTATTCATATGGTATGAGCATGCAGCTAGTTATACAAAAAATGTAACAACCATGATTTCAACATTTACATGAAATGTGACTTTAAAATATTGCCTCACTTTGCCTGTTTTGATGTCCCGTACATAGATCCCCTCATTTTCATCCAACGGAATAGCTTGTCTCTTCATCACAACTTCCACTTCAACTGGAGGCACATATTCTGTTGGGCCGCGAATCATCCACCGATCACCAGGTGAACGGGTCACTTCCTGTTGATAGTTACAGTTGTCCAAATTAATGTTAAAATAAAACAGTTTAAATGAATTTACAAACTCAACCCACAATATTACACAGTGGATGTCCAGGGGGACAATAACCACACTAAAGAAAACAGGAGTGCATTACTTTTAAAGAGGCACTTTACTGTGCTGCATGTTCAAATATTTTGCAAAATTTCTTTTAATAAGTTTAGACCAAAGGTGTTTGAAAAAAAAAAAAAAAAACACAATGCATTCCATGACACACACAAACAATATGTAATAAAACTGAATAAACAGAGAAGGGGAAATCACTGAGGCCATATAGATGTGGTTTCTCCATAGACCGCTAAGATGTGGTTTCTCCATAGACCGCTAAGATATGGTTTCTCCATAGACCGCTAAGATGTGGTTTCTCCACAGACCGTTAAGAATTCCAGAGGTAGCTAATAAGACCAATTTCCAAGAACTACAAAAAGCTATTACACAAGAATGTTTAATATCCACATCAGGACTAGACCATTTTTTAAGATGTTATGAGATAAGGTATGTGGAGAAGGCTATGCCATCTTATCAGGGAGATGAAGCACATACAAAGACACCCCAAGTGATGCGACGACACTGTTGTATGAAAAATTCCAGTTAATTAAGGTGACATAGTACTAAAATTAATTTGTACTTATTACAAAAATATGACATACCCCATCTTGAAATGTTTCCGTGGCCCTCAGAATAAGTCCCTCATCTTCACCAAGGATGAACACACTCTGGGTCCCTTTCTCCAGTTTTTCACCAGGCATTAAAAAGAAAGATTTCTCTCCCTAAAAAAAAAAGAGAGGATATAAATGAATAATTTTAGACAATATTTATTATCAATACATGTTTTCTTCATGATAGGAGCCCATTCTACTATTAGGTTCATCTACCGAGCGGTATAGTAGGTGGTGGAGTGGCCTCTAGATATAGATGGAGGCCGGTTGAATAAGTGGACACGAACCTTCTTCTTCATCTTTGCTTCACACGCTGTAAACTCTGGGAGAAAGTTCTGGTTGTTTACCTACTTCTGAACTTGTTTTAGAACTTGAATTTTTGTGCCCACAGCCATTTTACAGATCAGGCTGATTTGTAAGCAAACTGTTGGCTCTTCACCTCTCAGGTAGATGCACTCTGACAAAGGAAACACACAATTAGTTGACTTTTACGACCTGCTTGTTAGTGCGGTGGGTCTATTCATCCCCCTCCCCTAAAATAGGACCTAATAACCCACAAGGGCAGCCATGAACTAGTACAGAAGGCAGTCGCTGGAAGGTGTTACAGTAGTGCCGCAGCAAACTTTATAAAAATGTCAAAACTATGAGGCAAGACCATTGGCAGGTAAGAGGCGCCTAGCTCTTGCCCCAGCTTGTTTGCAGGATCTGTGTTTGTAGACAATGGATGTTTGATAGGCAGAGGGAGGCAGAAAGAAGATGCTGAAAATTTCTCATTATAGTATGGAAGATCATCTGTGTCAGAAATGACTGAAATTACACAAGACAGAAGGATGTGGATAGCTATGACTTCCAACGCCACACAGACACAGCACAAGTAGTGGAAGAAGAAGGATAATACTAGATATCTTGAAAACAAATAATTTGGCTGCATCAGACATCAAAGCTGTTTATAAAGAACAGTAATAAACAACAGTAACTGAAACATGGTTCCTGAATGAAATGTCAGAGGTCAGTCAGCAAAAAGATGAACAACAAAACAAGGACACGGTCAGTTGCAAACTGCATGAAACAGGGAACTATTGACAACTGAGCATCCTTCCAGTGAACTATGATGAGTAATGTTCTGCAAAGAATCTGCAACAGGATGATAATGAAGTAATTAGTTTAGTGTAACTTCTGTTTCGTTTTTTGTTTGCTGATGAAAGTATGTAGCAGGGGTAGGCAGAAAAGCCAAATTCTACCAGATATATGGTACCTATCATGCAATCAAGCCCAAGGGTTGCAATATCCATAGTACAGAGCCAAAGGGTTTTAACAACTCATGGTTTCTGGTTTCTTAAAAAAAAATATTTAAAAAAAAAATGTAGCTGAAACAGTTTCTGAGAGACTGTCCTTATAGAGTTGAGTTACTCTTCACATGTCCTATTTTTTAACATAAAAAAAAAAAAAAAAATACATTATCTTAGGTCAGGTCCCGACAACCTACAATATATGTGCCAAAATAGTATTTGGAGTAACCTGAGGTAGAGTGTATAATTTTATTTTACAAAAAAAACAACAACAAAAAACTTGTATATAAAAAAAAATATGGTGAACTTTGGTATGATGCGTGACAGTTCAGTACAACCCCATTAGAAGCATGCTAACTTCTGGTTTCAGCCATCAGAGACAAGATGCTGATAACCAGTCAACAACAAACGAAAACCACACAGAAATAGACAAGGGAGGTAACCTACCTTAACCAACTTTTTCTGACCAAGCTGAGGCTTGCCAGAGTCATCGACCGGGTCAAGGATGACGCAGTACTGGCGGTTGTTCAGTGTTGTGATGTTAACCACACCTACAACCTAAATAAAAATAACAGAAAATGCACGAGTAAAATTTAATTTTCCAGACCATAAAACAAAAAAAGAAGACCATTTCAGGAAAAGAGGAATTATATGTGTCACCAGGACCCTTACGGGAAGCACAGAATAGTGACACTGCACCCTACCAGGCATGTCATAAGAGGCGACTAAGGGTAGGGTTGGGCTTGAGGTTGGCTACCTCATCTTGAAAAAAAAAAAACATCCTGTAAGCCACAAAAACCAACCAACCATGGATAAGTCAAAAAGAGAAGCAAGTAAAACCCAGCCAACCAGGATGAGGGGGAGGCTCTTCAAGTAGAAGAAGTATGACACGGTGTGGAGAAAGCTGTAAGGAGTCTGGACCGTCGACATACCTCCTCTCACCAAAATGATAAAGATGCATCTGTTAAGGAAGAATTTTACATGCAGCTTCAAAATATTATAAATAATGAAAGAAAGGGCAAAATAAAAATTTTGATGGGTGACCTGAATGCTAAGATAGGATCAGATAACACAGGTTTTGAAGAGATTATGGGAAGACATGGTCTAGGAGTAATGAATGAAAATGGAGAATTATTTAGAGAATAAATCTGGCAAATAGTAATATTGTTCCTCTTAATGGCACCCCACTCCAAGATGTGGAGACATACACTTATTTGGGCAGTAATGCAAAGACATTCTAGTTATGCCTGTTTTCCTGTTTTCTCAGTGTGTTTCTTATCCAACGCCATAGTCTTTCCCTCACCTTGGTCCACTGGAGCCTGTTTAGTTCTCTCCCAAAGCTCTACATTAGTTATTCTATCATACCATTTAATTCCCTCTATTCAGTTAATGAATGTCTGTAATTTATTAGTAATTTAATTGTCTTAGTTGTTCTTCATGTTTCCGCCCCATACAAAAGTACTGATTGGACATTAGAACTTACCTCTTCATAAACATTTGGGATGTGGGTCTCTGTGTCCTTCATTGTGATGAGCCACTCTTCACCATTTTTCCTCAAGACTCCAAAGTCGTCCTTGAATGTTCTTAGAGATCGCATGTGTAGAGCTTTCTGAAAACAGCAAGAAAATCAGCCTAATTAACTCTATGCCCCGGATACTTGTTATTTTAACCCCATGTTACAGATATATGTTATATTAATAATCATGGTAGCTCCTGTGCCAGGTAAGTATAATTATATTATCACAATGTGTTTGAGTTATTACTGCAACCTACTATGCATACCTTCTTTGTCTGTCGAGATCTATTTAGAGAACATTGCAACCATTTTTTTTCTAGAATCTCATATTTTATGGGTGTTTATACATTTGTTTTAAGAACATAAATATGGTTTTAGTTACTTTAAATACCTATATTTATGTGCAAACCCATCAGTTGACTTATTTAGCATGTGTTTTATCTTCCTCACAGTTTCAAACCATTACCTCCCCGTGTGGGTTCCGGAGTCCCATTGAGGGGAAAACAAGAATAGTCCCACTGCCTTCCCAAAAGCATGTCGTAAGAGTTGACTGATCAGGAGCTTCATTTGAAGTCAGAGTGCATCTTCCTGAGAGGTGTGGAACCAACAGTCTGCATAAACATGAGTCAGATCTGTTAAATGGATGTGCACACTCAGGTTCTGAAACCGGACTAAAGTCCAGAAGTGGAGGAACACCCAGAGTTTACAGCTAGTGAACAAGAAGAAGAAAAAGAAACCTATGAAAAAAATTATATAGTCTTCTTATCCTAGTTTCTTGCATTTATTTTCCATGCCATTTTTATTTTTTCAATCTTTTATCAAAGTGTTATATTTTATATTGGTTCATTTCTCATACTTCATTATCTCTAATGGTAAATGTAAAGCAAAATAAATATTAGAAAATTGTGTGTTATGATTTTCAGGTTGTTAGTCGTAGGTACAAGGATTTCTTAACCTTTTGTGCCTGTAGTTTAGGTGTGCCTAATTGCTACCTTAGGGGGATATGAATCACAAGATACTGTCTCTAGATTGAAGAAAATTCAGTACAGGATGGAATTTTCCATTCATTACTTCTCTTAAATTCATCTAAGATGGGACATCAATTTATTCCCTCTGTAAAATGTCTTGGATGGTTAGGTTGGTGGTTTTTCTCAGGCATCTCATCTCGCAAGATGTGATTCCATGTTTATGATCTTTAGGTAATGTCCAAGTTTAACACTGCTAGCTCATTGTTGGTATGAATAAGCTATTTATAATCTTTTCCCACCAACTCATGCTTATGTTTGGATGTCTTAATAATGGAGACAGTTATATTTCCTGAAGACTGAAAATTGTGATCAATCTTTATTTCATCTACAGTCAAATCTGTTACTTCAGCTGCAAAGACAATTACCTTTTCTGTAAGCACATACGCATCAACAACACTGATGACTTCTTCATATGCTCCTGGCAAGTAGGCCCCTGTCTTCTTCACCAGCCACTCTTCTCCCGTCACCCTGGGGTTGCTGTCCCTGTCCTGGCATTCTTTTCTGGCACGCAGCCGAATGGCCTGGTTTGGACCAATCACTGTGGCTCGAATTGTTTCGTCAACTGTGCACTCTTTGCGTGGGATGTAGGTTCCTTAGTCAAAAAATTTAAAACATAATTCTTTTAAACTGAATTCAGACTGTTGCCATGTTTTGTTTTTTTTCATTTGATCTAAACCAAGAGTTGTAAACCCTTTGAAACAGTACTATGGAAATCGCAACCCTTCGGCTTTAATTCCGTGACAGATATCAGTCTGGAAAATATGTGACTTTTCTGCCTAACCCCGAGGGTAAACTCAGACCACACATGAGTTTGTCACCCAGTCGCTGTGCAGGCTGGTTTAACCAACTAAGCTATAACGCCAAGCTGTTGCCATGGTTATATAACCTCATTATACTGGTTTGAAACCAGTTCAGAAGTGCTCCAAAACAAACTGTAAAAAGAAACCCCATTCAGCCTTAAAGATGAGGGAAACAAGTGTTTTATTCTCTGCCAGTACTGCTATTTGCAGCTCTGTGATAAATAGTTAAATGAACATATTTCAAATCCTTAATATTTCAGGGTTTCAAATTCACAAAAAGCAGTTTAGAAAAAGATCTTAATAGCTTTCAGACACTGTGATACAAGAAAGAGTCAATGATACTGAAGCTTCTGCATGAAAGATTAGAAAAGGCAGAAGTGGATATATCCACTGCAGCCTATCTCAAATGTGAAGACAGTTGAAAATGTGTTTCAGTATTTGCTATTAAATTACAGTTTGTATCTAACACATCATCATAATAACACAGACAGTACAAAAGTCACCAAGCAACAAGATGTAGTTTACTTTATAAGCAACCTAAACTGTTCTTACTAGTTAGCAGATAGAAGGAAAACTGGCCAAGAGTGAAATATTGTACAAAGCATTATTTTGTAATCTATCCTTAATGTTCATTCAAGCAGAGTAATCTGGTAATCCTAGTTTCAGCTTCATAGCAAGCAGGTCACCCCATAGTTGCTCCGCTCCTGTGCCAACGAAAAACACACGTAGCTCACAGTGTTACGCCATGCACACAACTCAGAAGCTGGGTGACGAAACTATATACTTCCAGTCTACAAATGGAGCAAACTGCAACGGCCACCGCCTGGCATAAGCCCAAAAAAAAAAAAATTTGCCATGGCTTAACAAAAAAAAAAAAAAAGTGGCCGTGCCTAGCGTCCATTTTGACCTGAAGCATTATGTGAGGGTTAATAAATGGTCACCCCAGCAGTACCCTCACTATTAGCTGGGGAAGGGACTTAGGACATTACATCCACCAGCAGGCGTCGCCCCTACAACGACCTGACTGCCTTCGTTAACGACTATTCACCCAACAGCCATGCAGTTCTTTGGCACAAAGAAGACACCTTGAACTTGGGTTTCGGAATGCCGACTTCCTACAAGATATTTTATGTTTTGTTTTCACAATCAACGTCACTGCACATTGGGCATACCCATGCGTGCGCAGTCCTCCGAAGCAGCAGCCACTCCAAAGTACTTCTACTAACTGTCCCCATGAGAAGCTGAGTGTTGGTGTGTAGGATTAATTCTGCGTATTAAATCAGTGTGTGTGTTTGTGTGTGTGTGTGTGTAGAGTTAGTGTTTGTATGTAGAACCAGAGTTTGTGTGTATAATTAAAGTATCTGGGTGTGTTAATTAATGTGTGAGTAAACAAAAACAGACACTATTTCTACATACCAGGTCCTTCAAACAGCCACTCGTCGCCCGCGGTCCTTTTTTCACCATTCTCATCCTCAAAATCAAGAACAGCACGGATCCTAAGAGCAGAATTAGCTTGGACCACTTTTAGGGCAGTGACAGGCTGGGAAATTAAGCCAAATAACTACTTGTCAACAAAAATCATTTAGCTAAAAGTTATGTGCACAACCAAACAGCACTTTGCAGAACCAACCCAAACATTTTTGGCTGACTATGATTTTACTAGACAACTGCTGCTTTCAGCAGTTTGCCATTGCTTCCTAAACAGTCAGTGCTCCACACCATTAATGAAACCAACACAAAGTGGCCTGCTGCTAAATCCCCTGCATCTGAATCACAACCTGGTATTTTAGAATAACAAAACTCATTCACCTCGCCCAGACCACAAACAACTATATTACTTGAATAATTAGTGGTCAGTAAATAAACATGTGTTTATTAAGTAGAAAAAGTTAGTTGTGTATCCTTTACAGGATGTTGCAGAACCAGTCCCAGCATTTTTTGGCTGTTGTGGTTTTTCTAGGCAAATCTAACGTTCAGTAGTTTGCCATTGCTTTTTAAACGGTCAGCGCTAGGTACCATTGTCAAAACCAACGCAAGACAAATCATCCACAGCTGGGATCGAACCTGGCATCCCGACATTAAGAAGCGTGTTCTCAATGCCTAAGCCGCAGATGTTGTACATATATGTATATATATATATACACACATACATAAATATCATCAGACATCGTGTCCTTAACAAAGGTCACTCTCTTCACAACGCTCTAGCCATATCTCCAGCCTAATGTGCATATATATATATATATATATATATATATATATATATATATATATATATATATATATATATATATATATATATATATCTGTGTGTGTGTGTGTGTGTGTGTGTATGTGTGTGTGTATGTGTGTGTATGTGTATGTGTATGTGTATGTGTATATGTGTGTGTGTGTGTGTGTGTGTGTGTGTGGTGTGTGTGTGTGGTGTGTGTGTGTGGTGTGTGTGTGTGTGTGTGTGTGTGTGTGTGTGTGTGTGTGTGTACACATATATTTATCCCTGGGTTCCAGGGTCCCTTTTTGTGGGAGAAAGAATAGACCAACTCCCCTTTCCAAAAACAAAACATGTGGTGCACCTTTCGAAGTCGTAGTGCATCTGCCTGAGAAGCAAGGAATCAAAAGTCTGCATACATATAAGCTCCATATCTAAATAAATGTGCAAGCAAAATTGTTTCTGGAACAGCAAAGTTCTGATGAACAACCAATACTTTCCGCCAGAGTTTACAGACAGTGAACGCTAAAATAAGATGTACACACAGACAAACACACATACTTTCTGGTATTTAAAAAAACTTAATGTGACTTAAGACAGATTTTCGCAGAAAAGATTTCAATTGTTTGAATGACTAGTGACAAAGTCTGGTTAAGGCTGTAGTTCACTTCTTAATTGTGGTTATTTGTCACACACACATTTATTCACTATATTCAAATAATTCTGACATTTCACATTCATTCACTATACTATAATTCATACCCTCCACTGATTCACTACATAATAATTCACCTACCCGATATTCATTCACTTTATAATTAACACACTTTATATTCAGTCACTACAGAATAACACACTTCATATTTATTTACTCAGCGGGTCTTAGTGGCAAAACCGCCTGCTTCATGCTCTGAAGGCTGTGGATTTATTTTACAGCTGCATCATTCGGCTCATGGGTGCAATTTTAATGTAGATCCACGGGGATCATCACCGAAACTAGAGAGTGCTTTGTGCAGAGCTCTTGGCAGGTGGAGAGAGACAGCCATTTCAGATAAAACCCTATGTCATGTTGATCCTTTCGATTTTAACTAACTTTTAAACATTTATTCACTAAATATTAACTGAAAATGTGAAGGTAGTCACCTGTTTCAGAAGTTCCCCAGGGTATAGAGGGAAAGGATCCTGTGTTAATCTAATTTCTTGGTCCGCATGTTGAAGTTTGGCCTGGCCAAGTTTGTCAATCACAGGCTTGCCGTCTTTGTCTCGCCAGACTGGATTCTCAATGACACAGTAGTGACGGGGCGGCACTACAATCATCTTCTCGGGACCAAGATTGACTCTGTGGATGAGTGTTAATTGCCACAATAATTCTCAATGACACAGTAGTGACGGGGCGGCACTACAATCATCTTCTCGGGACCAAGATTGACTCTGTGGATGAGTGTTAATTGCCACAATAATTAAATGTCACCGCCAAGAGAAATAAATATAACCAGAACAAAATCAAACAAACATTTGTTATGGATAAATGCTGTAGGAAAAACAAGGTATTACACACACATACACATATACACACATATACACATATATATATACATATATATATATATATATATATATATATATATATATATATATATATATATATATATATATATATATATATATATATATAGGGATCTATATATTTTTTTTTCTATTTCAGTATTAGATATTTACGCTTGTTAGTTACTTTTCGTTACTATTTTTAATACCATTAACATTATGTTTCCATTGTAACAATGAAAAAAAAAGTTTTGGGCGTACAGGGCTAGAACTATATTTTATACACCAACTGGCACTCGGTGGGTGATGTAGTCAACATCATGCTGGCTGCCTTTACTACCCAGGACTTTACATAGTAAAAGGCTGGGTCGACTAGGAGCCAAGGTCATTTATGAGAAAAAAAAGTCTGGCTTCGTTCATTCAGATTTGAACCCATGATTTTCACATTTGCAGACAAGCCTCTATCTGATATACAATGGCAGCTCCATGTTGTAACAGTGTAGGAGGTATTTTATATTTTAAGTGTACTTTTTAAATAACTGATAAATGTACAAGGTTTGAAGAATCATAAGTGTCCACTGTTATGTTGTCTGGAATAATTTTAACATTTGTTAAATGTTTACAACAGAACAAGGACAGAAAGAAGAAAACAACACCTTCTCACCTCTGGTTGTCTTGTCGGATAAATGTCTGAGGCCCAATTTCAATTTTCGTGACATTTGTGTTCTGATCAAGAACATGGATGTAATAGTAAGGCGGAATGCGATAAATTGTATTATCATCTTTGCGTGTAGAAGCCATTGTCTCACTTGAGTGGCTTTCTGTACTCTAATTATTGAGACAAAAATGAAAATATGTCAGTATTGTACATAATAAAATACTAAAAAATAAAGGTCATTATTATAAAGTCCTTGTGTGCGTTCCGGGGCCCTGTTATACGGAAAACAAGAATAGACCCACTGCCTATTTAAAAGCATGTGGTAAGAGAACTAATTAGGAGCATCCTTCAAGTTGAAGTGCATCGCCTGAGAGGCAAGGAACCAGCAGTCTGCATACAAATGAGTTATATCTGTAACGGATGCACACACAACACCCAGGTTCTGGAACAGGACTGCAGTCTAGAAGTGGATGAACAACCAGAACTTTCGGCCAGAGTTTACAGCTGGTGAATGCGAAAAAGAAGTAGATTGTGTAAATTATTTTAACCACAAAGTTTGTAGAATCTGAACAAAGTTACAGTTGTGGTATCACACGTAACAAGGTGTAGTAGCAGTAGTAATTTTAATGATATCCTGTTCAATCCATCATGGTTTTAATTGGCTATTTAACAGAAAATACCTTTTCAGATAAAGGAGATATTAATGCTTGGCAATTAGTTTTGGTAATGCAATTTTGCACAGATTATGTACTAATTACAAGAGACTGGACTACAGCTTTATATATTTATATTATGTGTATTTTTAAAATTATTCTGATCATAAAATGTTGTGCAGTCAATCAGATTTGAAGTTACCTGGAAATCCAATTCAGTATTCTATTTTACTTTATTTGACCATACATTAAACGTTACATGCAAACCTGTTTCTGTGATGTACAGTTTAATACTTCCGTGTAGTTCTGTGAAGCTATATATCCTCAGCATGTTTGTGAACTTTTTTGTCATACAGCGGGTCACATGTAAATGTATTATTCTTTATCAGTTGTAAGGAGGGGAGTGGGGCGGGGCGAGGTGCACAGAAGTGCTTATTTCTTGCAATACATTAATTAGTATTTAACAATGTTTCTGACATTCAGAACGGGTGTCTTCTGTTATATATCATGTAAGAAGATTAATTTATCTCCGATAAATAAGTAAATTTGTGAGTGTAACGATAATCAAAGTTAAGTAACAGTAACAGGGAAACACTCAGGTATATTAGTATATTAATCTTCCTGGATGTCCAAGAAGCGGTGTCATTACAAAACAAGCGACAATACAATAAAACTCACCTGTACTCAATAGAATATCACTTGAAGATTTTTCCGTGAAGTTTGTAACGAACTCAGAAGGATGGAAAAAATAAAACCATCAAACAACACGGCGAGGAAAACCAGAAAATCAGCCGGCAGAGGAATTCTTATCAAATATCTGGGGCTGCCCAAGATTCAAGATCGATCCTGGTCTATATATAGTATCTTGTTCAGTGCTATAAGTAGAAACTTGTGCAATGCTGACTGTTGCAACACAAACAGTTTCAATCTAGCGAAAATTACAACCAAGTAACTGAGTTAACCTCCTATAAGCATGTACAAACAGGAAACTCTAAACAGGAAACTTAAGACTGCCTGTAACTTTTAGATGGTGATGTTACAATATCGGGTTGACCATGACCGTCTTCAATACTGAGACGGCCTTGGGTTGACCTAGTTGGACAACATTCGCTTTTATTTATCTTGAACATGAAAGGGTTTCCGCAAAGAGGGTGGTATAAATAATGCCTTGCTTATAGTACTAGAGCAAGGATTCCTGTCTGTGGTATTATCTCAAGGATAAGAGTCAACACGGCCTTGTCTATTTATTATTAGAGAAGGCGTTGAGAATCAAGTATGTACACATGCCGGAAACACCACTCAACCGTAAAGCCAGTCACCTAGCAGCTATACTGGAGCGCCATAAAACAGTTACGAAGAAACCTGTACAAAAGTGTGGGTGCTTGTTGTACCCCACCAGGACATCACACAAGCGATAAACATCCGGTGACACAAAGTGGCACCATACGGATGAGGATCGCCAGTGGAGAGGTCCAAGAAATCCCTTTCAGCCGTTATGGCCACAATTGTGGCCCAGCTATATTCAGGGCCCCCGGCAAAAGCCAGGGTGGAGCTTCAAATAACGAAAAATTGAATCCCACAAGGGGTCAACTTAATGTCGACGATAGAGAGTGGGTGGGTGTGTGGAGACATTTATGTGAGGGAATAATGGGTAGAAGAGGCAGGCGAATGCACAGAAAGATTAGGACGGTTAATCCGCTGGGGGAACAAACAGTATAATCAACACAAACTTAAAATACAAATGTTTATGTTTATTTGAAAGATCTACTTTGAACTTCCCCATAAAATGGCGGACGTAATATGATGGCACATTCTGGCCATAAAATTTCCAAAAATATCCGAACAGTGTTCACGTATATCTAAAATACGGATTTTCTGCCAAGGAACAAATCGCGGCAAAACTAGGATTACTTGACTGACAATATAAACCTTGCACACGGTAATAGCATCAATATCAACCTTGCACACGGTAGTAGCAGACGATAAATACCGACCGTTGACAATTTCGAGCGTTTCTGCAGACGATATTAGCGACCGTTGACAATTTTGAGACATTACAGACGACGAAAGCCGATTAGCAATACTGTTCTTCCGACTGCGTAGCGTGTAGCGGCGCGGGGGATACCCGTCGGCGGTGAGGCACACTCGCAGAATCAGGTCCGCAAGTAACATATCGCCGAGACCCTGTTAGAGCATTTGTTTCGTTTTACGGAGCCGGCACATATATTTTTAATAGAACTGAGCCCCATTCGGATATTTTGGGATATTTTATGGCCAGAAATTGGCCAATTTAGCTCTCTTCCAAACGGCATCATAATACGGCCGCCATTTTATGGGGATGTTCAAAGTAGAGCCCAAGGCGGACACCCTACCTCGGGACCACTCACCCCCCCCCCCCCCCCCAAACAAAATAAAAATACAAAGGGGGTCGTAGAATCAGGAATGTCGATTGTCAAATTCCCAGTGAGTGACGTTCAACCCCACCAGAACCGCACAATGAGCTACAAAAACCCGGTGACACAAAGTGCCACCATTTAGATGAGAATCAGTCGAGCACAGGTCCCAGAAATCCCGTTCACCTGTTAGGGCCACTACGACAGCCGGGGTGGGGCTTAAAAAACCGCTTCTAGCATTACTGAATAACAATCGACTGGAAGAAAGCAGCATACAGAATATAAAACGGCAAAAGCAAAAATTAGAAATTCAGTGGGCACCATATATTTTTTTATTAAAACCAGAAGGATTAAACAGGATATTTGTAAATGAAAGCTAGTACTGCTCAGATCTGTGATGTCTAAATCAGTCTAAATACCCGAAGAAAGAAAAGGAAGAAGAAGAAGACAAAGAAGAAGAAGAAGAAGAAGAAGAAGACAAAGAAGAAGAAAAAGAAGAAGAAGAAGAAGAAGAAGAAGACAAAGAAGAAGACGACGAAGAGGAAGAAGAAGAAGAAGAAGAAGAAGAAGACAAAGAAGAAGACGACGAAGAGGAAGAAGAAGAAGAAGAAGAAGAAGAAGAAGACAAAGAAGAAGAAGAAGAAGACAAAGAAGAAGAAAAAGAAGAAGAAGAAGAAGAAGAAGAAGACAAAGAAGAAGACGACGAAGAGGAAGAAGAAGAAGAAGAAGAAGAAGAAGACAAAGAAGAAGAAGAAGACAAAGAAGAAGAAGAAGAAGAAGACAAAGAAGACAAAGAAGAAGAAGAAGAAGAAGAAGAAGAAGACAAAGAAGAAGAAGACGAAGAAGAAGAAGCAGCAGCAGAAAAAAAAAAGCAGCAGCAAAGATATTCCTAATTAGTACTTACCTTTAAAACTAAACCAGAAAACACGTACTTATATTATTTAAACGATTTAAATATATGGATTCGTTCTACTGAGACATAAAGAAACGCTATAACTACTTCCTATACTAACTCTACCAGCCCAGGTAGTTAGATAAAGACACGAAATGTCAGACAGACAGACAGACAGACAGACAGGTAGTTAAAGACAGTCTTCAGATTACCAGTACCTGACTTCTGTGCAAAATGTGGTATTCTAGTTCTTGTTCTTCTTGATCGCGACAACACTCCATCTCTGCCTGTTCCATGGTTGTACACTGCAAGATTAGCAAAGCCAGACTGGGAGGTCCAAACTCACTACAGCCAAGGTCTCACATGTGCTCTGTGGCTAGGTAATCTGTTTCACGTGTATCTCGGGTGTTTGAAACATTTTCCGGTTGGTCGCTTCTCTATCATCATCATGTGCTGTTCGGCATGGGTGGTCAGGATTTGCTACTTCGTCAACACAAAGTTAGTTGCGTATCCTTTACAGGACGTTGCAGAACCAACTCTAGCTTTTTTTTGGCTGTTGTGGTTTTTCTAGGCAAATTTACATCTAGTAGTTTGCCATTAATTTCTATACGGCCGGCTTCTCGATACCACTGTCGAAACCAGCGCAAGGCCTGCAGTTCGGATCAAACCCGGCATTACGAAACGCGTTCACAACGCCTAAGCCACAGACACATACTCGTACACATAATCCCTTTTAAAAACCACATTATTGGGAATTGTTGAAAGGTAGAGAGCAAGAGGTAGTTAATGATACAAACGGAAAGACAACATCAAGAGATGGGCGAACAGCAGTCTGGGACAGTGCACTATCAAGAGATATAGTATCAGTCATGAGTTGTATTATCTTTACAGCACTCCGGACACGTCCATAGGGTCTCAGACCCCCCCCCCCCAAACCCCTACCCACACAGGACTGCAGGTGACACCTGGCCGGTGTCGCCGTTACAGGGGCCCTCATTTTAATTTACTTTGGATGTTGAACGGCGTATCCGAGATCCGCCTTGTTGGTCAGTCGTCCATTTGTTTAATCTCATGAAGATATGAATGGTTAACTTTTAGGTTGCAGCCCGGAGAGTGCAACCCGATCGATCGAATGTGTTGGAAATCCATTACAGCCAACCTTCATTGTGAAGACGGCACCTGTACTGATTTCACCGCATGGCCAAACTATCGAAGTGCTGATCGCTTCAACTCAACCTTCTTTTTTTCCTAGCGGGTCGCCGAGGCAAAGTGGTCAAGCCGTTTGCCTCACGCTCTGAAGGTCGTGGGTTCGTTTTATGGTCGCGCCGTTCAGTTACCGAGTGGAGTGTTTTACGGAGATCCGTGTCGGCTGGCAGCTGGTTGTTCTGTGGAGAGAGACTGAACCATATGGGATAAAACCCGGTGCAATTAAATCGATCCTCTCACCTCTACCTCTTCTCTTTTCTGAAGAAGTTTGCGACTACTTGTTAAACATTATTTCTTCTCATAGAAAACATGACCCGACTGCCCCCCTCCCCTCCCCCTCCCCCTAAATACCTAAAAAGTATTCTTCTTTTTCTTCTTCATTCACCGGCTTTGAATTCCGGCGGTAAGTCCCGGTCAATCGTTCGCTTGAACGTTTGGCTTTTACCTGGACCTGAGTTTTGCGTGTACAGCCGTTTTACAGGCTTTTTCCGTTTCCTGCCTCACGGGCAGATGTACTCCGACTTCGAGGCGAAAAAAAAAGTATTCTCAACAGTTTACTATTGTCAAAAATTGCTTGAACGAAAGCTTCGCTCTTGCCCCAACCTCCGCCCCCTTTGGGTCTGTGATATTTGTTGCAGTTTGCCTAGAAGTCATATTTGCACCACAATTTAGATGTTTTTCAGTTTGTTTGCTTGTTGATCATGTTCCATGTGGATACAGCACTAACGACTTTATTTCTATTGTTCAACTATGAGATGTGGCTAGTTTAAAAACAAATCAATGTGTGGTATAATTATAACACACACACATACTCCCTCTTCGATACAAATACCAGCCCACGGCCAAACCAGAAAGAGGAAGAGAGAGAGAGAGAGAGAGAGAGAGAGAGAGAGAGAGAGAGAGAGAGAGAGAGAGAGAGAGAGAGAGGATTCACGAACTATGCTTGAGTGAGTTATTATGGTACCTCCTTCTTCTCCTCTTCCTTCTTCTCCTCTTCCTCCTTCTCCTCCTTCCCTCATCCTCCTCCTCCTTCTTCTTCTTCTTCTTCTTCATCATCATCTTCTTCTTCTTCTTCTTCTTCTTCTTCTTCTTCTTCTTCTTCTTCTTCTTCTTCTTCTTCTTCTTCTTCTTCTTCTTCTTCTTAATCTTCTTCTTCTTCTTCTTCTTCTTCTTCTTCTTCTTCTTCTTCTTCTTCTTCTTCTTCTTCTTCTTCTTCTTCTTCTTCTTCTTCTTCTTCTTCTTCTTCTTCTTCTTCTTCTTCTTCTTCTTCTTCTTCTTCTTCTTCTTCTTCTTCTTGTCTTCTTCTTCTTCTTCTTCTTCTCCTCCTTCTTTTTTCTTTGCGTTCGATTTCGTATGCTCAGATCAGACCATCAGGTGGGGTTGCCTCCATGAACTCGCATGTCAGTAGCAGGTCCTTCATGGTTCCATATAGGTTGCTCTGCACACTTGAGACCTGGTGTCTTTTGAAGTTGTATGTAGAGTGGGCAGGTCTGCAGAATGTGCTCAAGTGTTTCTGGCCATGTTTGACAAGCATACTGAGGGGACTGTACCGTCTTTATTTTTATCCATGTAGTAGTCGAGCCTGCAGTGTCCTGTTCTTAGATAATTTTGTTGTATGTTGCTTTCTGTTGGGGTATTATGGATGTTTACTATTTGTTTGTTCTCTCCACAGTTTTTTTTTATTTTCCCCTGATAAGTGTTTTGATTTCTGGTAATAGCAATAAATGGGTGTGTTGTTTCTCCTTTGTTCAATTTTTTGGCAAGTCTGTCCACTAACGCATTTTCTGGTATGCCGCAGTGAACCGGGATCCACCGGAGAACGTTGTGATTGTCTTCCGAAAGTCTGTTTAGCTGGCAGGTCAGCTCTCTTCCATGTTGTCTCGAAGATCCATTCGAGTCGTCTGGAGGACTGACATGCAGTCACACAGGTAAACAATTTTGTTATTTGTATTTATTCTGTTCTCAATCACATTTGCTGCATTGATAATTGCTTAGGAGTTTCCCGGAGGCACATGACGTTTCCACTAAGGTTCCATCTTTCAGCATGACGACCGAACCAGCTCCTCTGATTTTGTTGTTGTTGTTGATGTTAACTCTAATGATACATCGGTAAATACGTGTGTGGCTAGGACATATCACCAATGAGTTCTGGTTTCTATTATAGCTTAGGACCAAACCATCTTTAATCCTTGAGTAGCCATGGCTATGGGTAGACACCCGCCTGCGGATTGGAAGGTGGTGGGTTCGCCGACTGACGTAGCCGGACTTTTTGCATAAATGACCTTGAATCCCAGGCCGACCCAGCCTTTAGTGGGTACCAGGTACAGTCCTGGGAAGTAAAGGCGGCCGGCGTGATGCTGACCACATCACACACCAAGTGCCGATTTGTCTATAAAATTATAGGTCTAGCCCTATATGCCCAAAGGCGTGGAAAAGACGTAGAGAATGTTGCAGCGGGGAGTATGTGTGGGTGCCACTCGAAACTCGGCGGACAGACAAGACGAGTAGTTAGTCAGATGACAACGGGTACGCACCATAAGTATAGAATATTCGCTGGCGGTTGAGGATAGAGACGGAGCTAATATGGGCTTGTCCTAATTCCTGCCATATCGACGAATCTTTACACAGATGTAGGACTGGACAGCCAGCTCTTGGTGACGTATAACAGCAGGACACGAAAATGATGATGATGATGATGGTTGGCAACGTGTTTACACAAAGCGACACACACACGCTAGCCCACGACTGCACCCTCCAGAGAGCGGTAACAATGGACCCCTCATATAGGAGATAATTTATAAACAAAGAGAAACACAGAGAGAACAACCAAAGATTTGTGGATCTGATCTCTTGGCAAAGAACCACAAATACTTTCTCCACTGCCAGACAAGGGAGGCTACTGGTGCAGCAACAGGGATAACTCTGGACTTCCAAGATGAAGACGTGAAGGAGAAGAATTTGATCAACAACTGCCAGTTGTCCTCCTTTTGTTCATGTATTTTTATGCTGTTTGCAAATTGGATTGTTCCTTTCCTGCAAGCGGCACTGTGCTATCGTTAGGATCTGAAATAAACACTTTACTTCGTTTAAATTTTGCACAAAACTATATAGAACGTATATATAAAAATGGCCATTATTCACTACTGATTGAAGTGACTGAAGTCTGCCTGTCTGGAATTTATGTCTTCGTATACTAAATGGACAGTCATTGCTGTGCTATCTTATCGCAAGATTGAAACCAAATATAAAAACAATATTCGGGTCTAGTCTAACCCCTTATTAGGTAGTCTTTAAAGCTTTAATTCAGAATTATTTTTAGCGATTTATATGACAATATATAACATTCTCAGAAGCCTATATACATTTTTAACTCTGGGTAAATTGTTGGTTATATCTATTATACAAGCGGAATCGACTTAAATTTCATGTGTTGTGTGAATCCATGTTTTAAACTATCAATGGCTTCTGGAAATGCCAAACCAAGCAAGCTGATGCGAGCCAAGGTAGACTCGTTTGTGGCAGCACTTCTCAAGAAAGGAATCAAACTGCTAGCCGTTGATTTCGACAAGACGATTATAGACATCCACTCTGGAGGCGTGTGGGATGAAGGTGTGGACAAGCTGGCAATGCATGTGCGTCCATGCATGAGGGATCTGATGGAGACTGCGTCAAATAAAGGCCTTTTTGTGGCCGTTGTGACTTATCACAGGCAGAACTGGCTCATCAAAGAAGTTCTGCAGAAAGTCCTGCCCAAAAAGTAAGTCTCAACAACTCGTCTATTAGAAAACAATATTCCATGAGTATAATTAGTTTAGTTGTAGGGACTGCCTTATTACAGGTTTCTTACGACGAATCTTTGGACCCATCAAAGATGCAAGCAGCGGTGAATGGAAAGTGAGAAGCAACAAGGAAATTCAAAATCTGTTCAAATCACCACTGATCACTGGCATCATGAGAGCTAATACTGAAATGGTTGGGGCATATTGAAAGAATGTCAGATGACAAAGAAGTAAAAACTATACACCAGGGAGATGAATGGTCGTAGACCACGAGGCAGACCAAGGAGACAATGAAGAGATAATATCCAGACAGACCTGCAAACACCTGGTGTCACCAACTGGAAAGAGAAGTCCAACCAGAGAGATGAATGGAGGCGGGTATTATCTGCAGAAATGAACCTTAAGTGCTCTGAATGCTGAAAAAGAAAAAGAAGAAGAAGAAGTAGGAACTGCGACTAGAGATTAGAGGAAGTCTAATTTACATAAATAATGGCAGGTCACTCAAAACTACCGTGTTTCTTCCATTTCTCACAGACCTGCTAATGACCAATTAAACTTGCTTTAGTCTAATACCATCATGTCCTACTTGCTGTTGGGGTTTCTCATTTGGCCTGCCCATTGTTTATGTAAACTGGGGTTTCTTCTGACCTTTAACAGTAATCCCTCAAACTGACTTACTGCAAAGTGTTTATAGGTTTTTACCGTCGTGATACTTTTCTGAGCCACCTTTTCTTCCGCTTCCTTCACATTCTCGTCTACCACTTCAGGTAATGTTGAAAACAACTTGACAAGCATAGGTGTTTATGCTTCTCCAACAGCATGTATCACTTGGTGTGTTTGCATTTTTTCATGCTATGACAAAAAAGGCCTTCATGAATCTTCTCTGGTCCTCCTCTGCCTCTCCTTCCATAAATCGTCCCATTTATCACATATTGTCTTCTTTCTCTTAACCCAGATGCCACAGGGCCTAGATCTAGTCACTTAGGGTTGTGACACAGTTCCCTTCATGCCGATGTATTGAGATGTCTGCATTGACCTGTTCTTGAAAAACAGTTAAATTCCATTGTTTGTGACACAGTTCCCTTCATGCCGATGTATTGAGATGTCTGCATTGACCTGTTCTTAAAAGCCTAGTTAAATTCCATTGGTTGTGACACAGTCCCCTACATGCTGATGTATTGACTTGTCTGCAGTGACCTGTTCTTGAAAAGCAGTTAAATTCCATTGGTTGTGACAGTCCCTTACATGCTGAAGTATTGACTTGTCTGCAGTGACCTGTTCTTGAAAAGCAGTTAAATTCCATTGGTTGTGACACAGTCCCGTAAATGCCGATGTATTCACATGTCTGCAGTGTTTTTGGTTTTCCTTTAATCCTGTGTCCCTGTGGGTTCCAGTGCAAAAAAAATTCTAGTTATATTGTTCTCTGTTTTTTTAATTCAGTGTGTATCCTATCCAACACCAGCGTCTTTTCTTTACCTCTTAGTCCACTGGAACTTGCTTAGTTCTCTCCTAAAGCTCTACATTAGTGATTCTATCATTCCATTTGCCCCGCTGGCTAGCATAGCTGGTTAAACCTGACTTCGCAGTGACCGGGTGACAAACTCCTTGTGGTCTAGGTTCACGCCAGTTGGTAGGCAGAACAGCTACATTCCTCCCAGATTTAGAGTATTTATCATGAAATCAAGGCCGAAGGGTTGCGATATCCATAGTACCGAGCCAAAGGGTTAACAACTCATGGTTTCTGGATATTTAAAAAAAAAAAAAAAAAATTTCCATTTAATTCCCTCTTTTCTGGAGAGCCTCAGCTGCCAGTGAATATTTCTTATGCTTGTGGTACCAGTTGTAAGCTGATTAAAAGTACACCTGTCTTTTCTCCTGCAGGTAGAAATTTGTCCAGACTCTTTGTTCACTCCCAGCAGAATCAGTCTCTCCATATATGGATGTTCTAACTGTTCTGTTGCACTTGAGCCTTCACCCCATCTGCATTATCCTAAAGACACCTAAGACAAGACCCCTAATGATATACTAATTGATTTGTTTCTTTAATTTTATCACTAAATTTAATAACTTTCAATATCTCCTTTTAAAAATGTAGTATAATTTTGCTGACTTTTTTTTCTTCTTCAGAATTGCTAACAAGATTTACATCCAGGCAAACACAATTGACTTTTTGCTGCGACAGCACTCATCCAGCGGGAACACCGATGATGGAACAGCTCGATCCATGCTGCCAGACTTGAACGGCAAACAGGCCCACATTGCATCGGTCCTCAGCGACATTTACAAAGACCACGGTGTGACCATTAAGAAAGAGGAGATCATTCTTTTGGATGATGATATTAATAATGTTCGTATTGCCAGCTCATTTGGACACTATGCTTTCCAGGTTCAGCAAAATGTGGACTACTCATCGTTTGACAGTTTTGAGACAATGCTTTTGTTGTGAGGTGTTTGTTATGAATCGAGTGAAGACATCTTGGTTGTGCCGTATGTTTGGAGCCAGTTGTTTTTAGAGCTGCAGTTTTGTAGCCGGTTGTTTGAAGAGCTTTATTTTTGGAGCCAATAGTTCATAGAATTATAACTTAAGAGCCAGTAGTTCATAGAATTATAACTTGGGAGCCAGTAGTTCATAGAGCTGTAGGTTTGGAGGAAGTAGTTCATAGAGCTGTAGGTTTGGAGCTAGTAGTTCTTTAGCTGTATGTTTGGAGCTAGTAGTTCATAGAGCTGTAGGTTTCGAGCTAGAAGTTCATAGAGCTGTAAATTTGGAGTCTGTAGTTCATAGAGCTGTAAATTCGGAGCTAGTAGTTCATAAAGCTGTGAATTTGGAGCTAGTAGTTCATAGAGCTGTCGGTTTGGAGCCAGCAGTTCATAGAGCTCTAAATTTGGAGCCAGTAGTTCATAGAGCTGTAAATTTGGAGCTAGTAGTTCATAGAGCTGTCGGTTTGGAGCCAGTAGTTCATAGAGGTCTACATTTGAAGCAGTAGTTCATAGAGTTGTAAATTTGGAGCCAGTAGTTCATAGAATTGCAAATTTGGAATCAGCAGTTCATAGAGCTGTAAATTCAGAGCAGAAGTTTTCTACAACTTTGGATGGAGCAGAAGTTAGATGAAACACTAGAAAATCTAATTTAACTCGTTAAAAGAAGAAAAATGACTGATTGCTATAAATTGGCAAAGAATAGTATATTACTAATAGTCAGCATTTGAACAAAGAAAACACAAATGATAGATTGCACATTTCACATATCTCGCTGTATCTTAGCTGCGTATATTACAGTAATTGAAAAAAGAATCCCTGTGTGGGTTTCAGGACCCTGTTGTTGGGAACACCAAGAAAATACTCACTGCCCCCAATAAGCACATCTTAAAAGCTGACTAATTAAGGTATGTTTTCGTCAAAGTCAGAATGCATCTGCCAGAGAGGTGAGGAACCAGCAGTCTGCATAAAAATAAGCTAGATCTCTAAATGGATGTGCACGTAAAACTCAAGTTCTGGCTCAAGTCTCTGTTCTGGTAGTGGATGAACAATGAGAACTTTCCACTGGAGGGTGAAGCTGGTTAATGCGAATAAGAATTCAATGAAAAAATAAACGAATCCTTTAAATTGAAATAGAAAGTCAGCTACATTCAGAATTAACTGTCTGTTTTACCAGGGCAAACTCAGGTTCAGGATCATGTCTTTTTGCTTACACAAATCTGAACAGAAGTGAATAATTACGGCTGCTTTGAGAAATGTTAGGACTCTGCCAATTTATTTATATATAAGAGACTCAATTTTTAAAAAAACTTTTTTTTAATCCTGCCCCAATATGAGACACAATTTTTATTATTTTTGTTAAAACGCTGTGCCATTTATGGGATGCAATTAGTTTATTATTTTAAAGCCCCACTCCGGCTGTCATCGGTGGTCCTAATATAACCTTACGGTTGAACGGAGTTTCCGGGACTTGAGCCTAGGAGATTCTCATCCGAATGGTGGCACTTTGTGTCAATGGGTGTTAGTCGTTTGTTGAGCGGTTCTGGTGGGGTTGAAATGAAGTCAGTCAGAGGAATGGTATATCTACTCAATTAGTTGTTGTAGGAAAACATATATTGTACATAAGAATCAGGATTAGATTGTCTGTTTATGTATTAATGCTGCATATATATATATATATATATATATATATATATATATATATATATATATATATATATATATATATATATATATATATATATATATATATATATATATATTTATATATATATATATATATATATATGTATATAGATAAAAAACTGACTTTGGCAAGGGGAAACCACAGTTGAATGTATGGCTCATACATAGATAATGCTTCTTAAGAAAATGGATTCACTTAGTGATGATATTTGTTATTTTGGTGAAATCTTTTAGTCAGGTAGCATAATGTGCTACAAACGAACATAATTATTTTGGGTCACTCTGCAACTTACTACAAATGTGTGTCTAAAAGAGACAGTTGTCACAGTTTTACCACATTATGAGAAGGCAGAAAACTGGATTGTTTTTTTTCACAACTGGAACATTTTTTGGGTATGAGAATATAAGCAAGATTTCATCAGCATGTAGCATCCTTTTCGCTCTCCTCGAAGTCTGTCCGGAAAAAAACAACCTCGATTTCTCACCATGCAGCTGTCCCACTTTGTGCACTTTCCTACCCAAGGTGTAACTTATATCTTGTGTCCCTCTTTTTGGCCGACCCCTTCTCTTCTTTCCTCGTACAGTGCTTTCTACTTTAATTTTGTTAAGTCCGCCACCGGGGTTGATGTGGCCATACTATTTCAGTTTCCGATGCCAAATGTTGTTAATTAGCCAGTTTTCTTTAATGTTGAGATCTTTTAATTTGACATGTTTTAGTATGTCAGTTTTTCTTTTCTTCTATGTCCATAGTATTCTGATAAACTTTTTATAGCACGGTTTCCAAAACTTTTCTCAGTTGCGGTGCATTTTTTCAATTAAAATCTAGCCACGGCTCCCTAACCTAAGTAAAAGTATGACTATTCATATGTAAGAGATAAAACAAAACAAAAAACTTGTGTATCTTTGAATATTTTGCGACGCCCCTATGAAGAGGTCGCGGCTCCCTGAGACGCCACAGCACACAGTTTGGGAATCGCTGTTTTATAGTAAAAATAAAGGACCATTTTCGTCACCTTCAGGATTTCTATAGTATTTCAGCTCGAAAGCTCCTATTTTCTTCTTTGATGACCGCAGCAGAATAATCTCATATGTTGCTACAGGGAAGATGCATGCTCTCAAACATGTGGCTTTGATTTGCTTGCTGGTGCTTAACCATAAACTTTTGATGCTGTTTCATCTTTGCATTGCTGTGACCTTTCTCTTTTTGACCTCTGCTGAACTGTCTCCATTGCTGTTTATCATTGAGCCTAGATAATCAGTTTTAGAGGAAGGCAAGGGGAGACAATTCTTGACATTTTTTTGGGGGGAGATCCGGAGAGGAAGTCAGAACACATATTGGTACATGCTGTTGATCTCTTGTTAGAGATGTACAGAAACATGATCTTCCATGCCAGTTGACGAGACACCTGGCAATGCTGATGGTGACGATATGTTATGTTGTATAAATGTGTGTATACAGTTTAAAAAAAAAAATTACCTGTTTGGTTGTGTTGACACAAGATGTGTGATTTCTTTTTCTCTTTATTTATGCGTTGTGATTTTCTTGCTTGCTAAGCACTGTTATATGCAGCCTAATCGGAGTTTTGAGCTGTTTTTATTGAGTTGCCATTTGAAAAAAATGTTATACAGTGTGTTCCATAAGTTTCCCCACTTAAGAAAATTTATCAGCAATGCCTTCTCAAGTATAATCCAGCTGTGCTTAGACATGTTTTTCAGCAATGGAGGACAGTGTTTTCCTCTTGACCAGTGATTCGCAACCTACCTAATGCTAATGGTCTTAGGCAACCCACATGAAAGGCTCATTCCACACCCAAAAAGGGTCGCGACCCATAGATTGAGAACCACTGCTCTAGAAGATATATAAGTCTAAGTGGTATAGTGGCTGTGTTTTCTTGCCTGCCAAGTAAGTGATTAAGGTTCAAGCCTCAGGAATGATAGGATGGTGTTTCTGAGCTGAATAGCTCTAGGATTACTCAAGGTCAGTTTAACAAATTTTCTTTTCTTTGAACCCCAGACCTTCGTGCTGGTAAAAGGCCACCTATCCCTGCACCACTCCAGCTCCCACCTTTGCTTATATCAGGTCATCAAGAATCACTTCTCCCCATTGGAGCTGCAGGGCTCCATGTTTGGGGGACATGCGTAGAACCACTGCCTCCTGAGAAGCCTGTCAAAACAGGCAACTTGTCATGATTTTTATAACATCAGATGTTTTCATCCAAAAGGCATATATATCTCAACCCAGCTGTAAACCACAATGCACTGTGCAGCCACCCTTGTAATACAGGAAAAGAACAGAACCACTTGCCATTTTCTGAATCTACAGTTCACAAGGCCATGTCGGTCACTGTCAAAAAGCATTCCAAATGAAATCCATGTCTCACAGTGTCACTTCTTGCACTTGAAATCAGTAGCTGGGCGACGAAACTATATCCTTTAGTCTCCATATGGAGGGAAATGTAATGTTCAACTATTGTCTGAAGTGAAAACCTGCTAGAACTAAAAATAGTAGAAAAGAGTGTGAGAGAATAGGCGAAGGAGGGGGGGGGGGGGGGGGGGTGGGGGGGGGGGGGGGGGGGGGGGGGGGGGGGGGGGGGGGGGGGGGGGGGGGGGGGGGGAGATGATGATGAGATTAAAAGACATTACAAAAGTAACTGAGAGACATTTTAAGGAGAGTGTGTGTGGGGGGGGGGGGGGAGTCTCCCTCTCTCTCACAAACACACACACATGGGCAGACACATACAAATGGAGAGGAGAGAGGTGGAGAGAATTAGAGAGTAAGATCCTTCACAGACTATTGTATCATATTATTCTTGTGCCACATGAACTTCTGTCCGCCCCAAGATCTTGGACTGGATTCTTCACTCACTTCTGTTCCATACACCCGTTGTGACCCTTGAACCACTATTGGCGCTCACTTCTGTTCCATACACCCGTTGTGACCCTTGAACCACTATTGGCGCTCACTTCTGTTCCATACACCCGTTGTGACCCTTGAACCACTTTTGGCGCTCACTTCTGTTCCATACCCTTGTTGTGACCCTTGAACCACTATTGGCGCTCACTTCTGTTCCATACACCTGTTGTGACCCTTGAACCACTGTTGGCGCTCACTTCTGTTCCATACTCCCGTTGTGACCCTTGAACCACTGTTGGCGCTCACTTCTGTTCCATACCCCCGTTGTGACCCTTGAACCACTGTTGGCGCTCACTTCTGTTCCATACCCCTGTTGTGACCCTTGAACCACTGTTGGCGCTCACTTCTGTTCCATACCCCCGTTGTGACCC